TCCCTCGCCTGTTGAGCAGCCAATTCAATTTCGCGTTTAGATTTGCGTCCAGGCCCTTTTTTCCTCGGTTTCTTCATAACTTGACCCGTTTGTGGGTCCAATTCAGGTGTTTTCTTTCTATACTTACGCTTCGTCTTCATCTCAGTCTAAAATTAAATTTTTAAAATGAATTCAGAAAATGTATTCAAGAAAATCCACAGCATAAGAGTGAAAATGTAAAAATAAACATATTTTGATTATATAAGACATTTGAGTATTCTAACTAGACGAATAGATAAAATATTAACAACACAATAAAAATATTTTAGTTAAAATAGTAAATTAATAAAATTATATTTTAGTGTTTGTATTGAAAGAACAAAGCCAAAAAAATCATAAAAAATTAACCTGGAATGTTGCTGCAGTTTCTATAGACCTTTTAATACGGGATTGGTGAAATGTTGAATTTGAAGAAGCTAAATTAGTAGAAGCAGCAACATTCGAGTTAGGAGAGGATAAATGTAAATATTGATTATTGCTGTTAGTAATAGTAGTTGGAATATTTGTTGAATAAATTTGGTTAGACTTTGGCGAAGAAATGAATTGTTTTTCGGGTAATAAATTTATTTGCTGTTTTTGTTGATCAATTGATGAGTTAGATAATTTTGGACGCCCTCTTTTCTTCGGAATACGTTCAATATGAGTAGAAAAAGGAGGAAATGAATGAGGGTCAGTGTGGGAATTCATTGGTATCGATGTTGTTGTGGTAGTTTCAAAACACTTGCCATCTTGTGTAGATGAAGGGATTTCAACAAAAGAAGAAGGTCTGAGACGAGAACCAGAAAATTCCATCTAAAAAATAAGTTAACCCAAATTTTTTAAAACATTTTTCTCTTATAATAAAATTAAAAAAAAAACAAACCCTCATGAATTTGTCAGATGGCGATGTAACAACATCCGTTGTCGAGGCAATATCTCCATCACAAAAATGTTGCTTTCTAGTACGCTTCCTTTGTAAATCATCAACACTACCACTACCATTTGGCATTAAATCAATAACAGCTCCATTATTTGTAAAGGAATTAATTTCTGATAAATTGTCTGAAGCAATTACACCACTCACAACTCTCTTATTAGTTGTTTGACTATTCCAAGAATTTTTAACTAAAAACAAAATTGAGAAAATAAAAAGATTTTTTAAATAAAAACCCAAAATTCCAGGTCTTGGACTTGTATGTGGAATATTTGGAACTTTTTTAATTGGAGATTTTGTAGTCACTTGCGTTGTTGAATCATCATCAGTTGGTTGGTGTGGCCGATTTTGTAATACGACAGAATAAACTGTTTGTTGGGGTAAATTAGAATTAACGGCACTTTGAGAATTAAGTGTTGATTTGTCCGAAGAAGATAAAGATTTGGATGGTTGGAAAGAATAATTATTAATTAATTGCTGTGGAGGACTACGAGAAATAATTGAAGAATCTATGGGTTGTTGTGAAGCCCAAGTTGAAGATGAGAGAATTTTCTGATGCTGTTTTTGCTGAAATATATTAATTAAAAATGATTTCATTTATATAATTAACGAAAATAAAATGATCGATAAAATGTAATTTAATAATCGAAAACGCGAATTAAAATTCTGTAGGCAAAGACCTCAGCCATAATTTTTTCACAATTAATTGTAAAGATGTTCACATAAATAAATCTTGGATAGAACATTTAAATTTACCTGGGAAGAATTATCCAATTTTGCAACTTTAATTATTTGGGAACCATGTGAAGAAGAATAAGAAGATGTTGTATTGCTAACAAAAGAAGATTTAATTGAAGCATAATTATGGGAGTTTGACGAGTTATTGGAAGTTTTTGAAGAAAATGCATTAGAAGCGGTAATTAACGAATTTTTCTGTTTGTGGACGTCGACACGGCCATTTGACGAATCTGTTTATATTTTTATTTTATTTAAAAAATAATTTAAATAAAATATACTAAAAGGAGTATGAGAGCCATGATGATTTAAATAAGTATTAATAACAATTGGAGGTGAGGTCCTTTCTTCTTGCATAGAAACAGATGTCAAAATTCTTGGATTAGAGAATCCAGTCAAATGTTCGTTTTTTAACTTTAAAAAAGTTTTAAGAAAAATAAAATAAAAAAAACTTTTGAATTTTTTATTTGTCGAGTAAGTACATCTCGAACAGTCGTTGTATAGTTAATTGTTGAAGTAGCAGAATCATCTTGACAATTAATATAATGAGATGATTTTGAAGAGCCTCCAATTATTTTATTCTTGTTGCTAACTTCTTGAGGTTGTTGATAGCGCGGTAATCGGGTTGTGGACGGAGTAGAAGTCGCTGACCTAACCAGTTGAACCTAAATTATAATTAAAACATGAATTATAACTTGAAATTCTAATTTGTAAAAAAAGGCAATCCCGGAGAATTGGGGTCCCTGCGGAAAAAAATCTTAAAAATAAGAAAAAGGATTTTTCTAGGGTAAAAAAATATGCTGATTACGAATCCGAGCTCAGATTTTGAAAAAGTCGAATACCGAACCCGAATTCGGACCTTTGCCCCGAACAGGATTTTTGACCCCAAACATTGTCGGACATTGTACAAAATGGCCAGTCTTTCAAAAGAATCTAGAACTCATCGAGCTAAGTCGAATGACACCAAAATCAATGAAATCCGACCGGATTGAACCGAGATACAGGCCCCTAAATATTGAAAAACCACAGGGGTAATTCTTTGGAGTAAAAATAAGTTTATACAAATGATAGCTCATTCGAAAGAGCTCGTCGTGCTGAGTCGAATGACACCAAAATTACAATGATTGATCAAGTTTAGACAAAGTTATGACATAAGTCGCCGACTCTTACAGTACTCCCAGAGGTTTACTTTATGTCATAACTTTGTCAAAACAGGTCAGATCTCGTTGGTTTTGGTGTCATTCGATGCAGCTCGACGAGCTCTTTCGAATGAGCTATCATTTGCATATTCGAAATTCGGGTTCAGGGTTCGAAATTTGGTTCGGGTTCGGTATTCGACTTTTTCAAAATCTGAGCTCGGATTCGTAATCAGCATATTTTTTTACCCTAGAAAAATCCCTTTTCTTATTTTTAAGATTTTTTTCCGCAGGGACCCCAATTCTCCGGGATTGCCTAAAAAAACTGTTAACTCCTTCTTTCAGAGAAGTTCATCGGTATTATCAAAGAAAAGGAAATGCTTATCGATAAAAAATAATTTTTCGAGGCAAAATTTTTAAATGAAGCAAAATACTAACCAGACTTTCTCCATCATCCAAAGGAGGCATAATTTCGTCACAGGTCAAATCTAACAATTAAATTTAAAAAAGTAAATTTAATTTTGAGAGTAATATAAAATAAAAACATTTTGTCAAAACATGTTCCTACTGTTTATAAGTAAAGAAACAAACCTCTAGAAACCATTGTTTGAACGAATCCAAAACAAAAAACATTAAAAATGTTCCCGCATAATTAAGCAGGAAATATTATTTTTAAATAAAAATTAATTAATATAGTAACCTTAAAATTAGATTGTTTTTATTAAGAATAACGAAAAAATAATAATTTTTTAATAGTAAACTTGTTGTCAGCCTGACAGAAAAATAACTAAAAAACAAAGAAATCGCTTCCTAAAGAGGAGATAACTCAAGCTTTATTTGCAAATCGAATGATTAAAATAACCAAAAAATAAAATTTAACAAAGCTTAACTATTTAAAAATTAAATGTATACTTATTCCCCTGCTTTATTTCAATTTAGTTAAAAGAAAATAATCAAAAAATATTAAAGTTAAGAATATTCAATTAAAGCGTTAAACACAATTTTGTTCTCATGGACCTTTTGTTAATTTGGTATTTTAACGTTTTAACCTCTTTCCATCAATAACTCCGCCGCCAGTTTTCCATTTATTCCTTTCTGCCAGCCGCCGCCATTTTTCGTAAAAATACTACACCGCATGATTTGTATTGTTCTTTTCCCTTCCAAAGAACTACCGCTTCTCTGCATCTCCTCTTTTCATACAAGCAAAAATGCACATCTGAGTTTATTTCTGTTGAATTTAACTGCAGACTGGACTTTTTGTCTAGTGACATTTTGTCGCAAATTTCCTTATTTTACCCTTCTTTTTCGTCTCTCAATTTCTTACACTATTTATTAAATCTTTCTTTTCCAGTTTTTGTTACTAAATATTTTGATTACTTCTCTTCTAATCGATATTTGAAAAATTTTCAGCTGTTTTCTTCCAGACTGGAATTCTAGAATTTTCAATTTTTTAAACCCTCCTTTTTTCGACTTTTGTCGAAATGAGTTCAGCGCGTGTCAAGGAAGGATATGTTCGCCTTAATCTCGACGATAATGATGATCCTGAGCCGTCTCCATCAGCCAATCCATACCTACAACAACAACAGGTTTTTATATTTTTACTGTAAAAACATCTTTAAAAATCAGAGAATTTTTAAAAATAATTTTGTAAATTACTCTTCTAATCGTCACAAATCTCCATAATTACTCCAAAAATTTATTTTTAAGGCAATCATAGATAAACAAGACCAAAGCTTGGAGCGGATTGGCGATTCATTGCGTACTTTAAAAGATATGAGTCATCAAATTGGTGATGAATTAGAGGATCAATCCGAGATGTTAGACGAATTGGGCCATTCAATGTCAGGTGTGGAATCGAGAATGGATGAAGTAATGAAAAAGCTATCTAAATTGACGAGGCTAGAAAATGGTTTGAAATTTTATTTTTTTAAAAGTTATTTTTTATTTTTAGAGTCAAATCAATGGACGACGATTTTTATTTTAATTGGGTTAATTGTTATTCTATTAGTGATTCTTGTTTTGCTTTAAATATTTGAAACGTTTGAAACGAATGTTTCGATAAAATTTTATTTAAAAATTGAAAATTTTAAAAAATAATTCAAACTGATTAAGTGATTCCTTTTAAGTAAACATATATTAGTAATCTTTAAAATTCTAGGCAATATTTTTAAACGTGTTCAATTCTTTTTGGGTTTTTGTAAAAAATTGTTGTAGGCATCCAATCCATTTCCCGGCAGAGGGTTGAGAATACAAGAGCCGTCAAGAAGAAAGTCAAAATTTACTTTGGAGAAAAACATTTTATTGGCATCTGAGTCGCAGTAAAGCGTACAACTTTTGGGAAGCTTTTTCTACAAAAAAATATTTTTCAAAAATAAAAAAAATAAAATTATAACTGTTCGACAAGTAGCTGCCACATGGTTTGCATCAACAAAAGACTCTTCAAATACCCATTTTGGTTGAAATTCGTTATCAACAAGTAATGTTGTTGATGTCAAAAAATTTCCTTAGTTAAAAATTTTTTGTTTTACAAAAAATCTAACATTAAATTTAACAACCTTGTTTGTATCGATCATTCGTATCAATTCGAAAGTCATAGCGACTTAAATCATCCACAATTCCTTGCCCTGTTGCTTTGAGTACCGCCTCTTTCAGACACTAAATTTTGAGATTTTCTGGTGGTTATAGGTGTTGCAATGTCGAAGACAATTATTTTTAAAAATGAAAAAATACCCAATATCGATAAAATATGGTCATTTTCATTTGTTCAGTCGGCTGACAGCGCATATTTTTTAATTCGTCAGCAGAAGCAGATTTTGCCTTTAATCAAAATTTAATTTGTAAATATACATTAGAAATCATACCATTGAATTTATATATTCATCAGCAGTTTTATCCCCACCTAAAATTAATAAATGAAAAAAAATTACTTAAAAACTAACGAGACATATCGAGACGCATAACATCAACACCAACCTCAGAAGTGCAACTACTTGCAAAAACAGTCAAATCCCCCTCAAATAATTTTAAATAAAAAATTTAAAAATCTAAAAACCTGATGAGAAGTATTTAATCCAAAATTATATCCGGAAGGTTTAACCAAATAAGGCTTTCCCTTTTGTGTTCTATTAAATTCAATTTCTTCCCATTTGGCTCCAGTAAAACGTTTAGATGCTTGTCTAAGAAAAAGTCGACTAACAAGAGTAGCAATTTGATCGTCTCTGAAACGAAAACACATTGACTTTTCATAATCTTCTTTTGGAACTGACTGAATAGCCAAACGAAAATTGTGTTCAAACTAAATAAAAATATTAATTTAAAAACCAAAAAAACCTTTTCATCTTCCATAGCTCGTTTTAAACTAAAGGCCCAACGATTACAAAAACATTTTTCAACAAAACTTTCTGATGATCTAAAATAAAATTTATAAAAAAATTAGTAATTAAAAATTAATACGCTTTCATTGAAGAACAAAATATTTTTTGCCCAAAAAGTAGAAGATAATAATTTATTCTTAAATCTTTTAATTAAATAAAAAACTTGAAAATTAAAAAATATTTTTTGATTTTTTCTTTCCAACTTTTAATAAATTAATTTTTAAAAACATTAAGCCAAATATTTATTTAAGTAATTCAAGCACAATTTTAAAATTAATTAAATACGTTAATTTAAAAATGAAACTACATATTTATGGGTAAAGGTTAAGGAAGAGTTACACAAAAAAATTACTGAAAAATTGTAATAATGTTATTAAATACTAATTTTCTTTTGAATTTGTTAAATAAAAAATTGAAAAAAAAGTTTTGTCTTTTACGGAGATTTTTAAATAAGATTAAAAAGGAAAAATGTGTGGAAATTAAAAGAATTAATTTCTTTTTTTTTGTCAAATTTTTGTTTTTAATTTCTTTTAAGAAATTGTTGAAAGAACAATTCTTCAAAAATTTTATTTTGATTATTTGTTGAAAATTGTGTATTAATTATTTGTTGTAAATGTTCATCAGCCTCAACTCGTTTACACTTTAAAATTGAAAAAAAATTTCTTTTTGGATTTTCTATAATTTATATTTACTTTATAACGCCGATTCTGAAACCAAATCTGTAAAATTCAAACAAATTTTCCAAAAAAAAAATATTAAAAATACCTTAATTTGTGTGGGAGTAAGTTTAAGTTTACAGGCCAATTCATCTCTTTCTGAATTACTTATATATTTTTGTTGTCCAAAATATTCTTCTAAATGTAGAACCTTTTAAAATTAAAAATAATTTCTTTTTTTTTCTAGACATTCTAAAAATAGTTTAACAAACTTGTTCTTGTGTAAAAAGAACTCGTGGTTTTCGTCGTTTTCTTTGTGAACGGAGACGAACAGGGAGGGGAGGAGGGGAATTTATTTTTATAGAAGCTAATTTAGAGGAGGAATCCTTTTTTCTTTCTTCTTTTAAAATAATTGTTTCGATATGTTTAAAATTTAATTTACTGAAAGTTTCAACCATCTTTTCTCTTTTACTAAAAAATATTTTTAAATAATTGTTAATTTATTCCTTAAAATAAATTTCTGACATTAAAAGCTTTAATTGTCAATCCCCCAAAAATGTTTGTTTAAATCCCCTAATTCACATAAGAGAGCTCTTATCTTCATTCCAGATATATCATATTCCTTCTAAAAAAATTAAGGAAATATTTGCCATTCTCTCCAAAAAAAATATCCATCCCTTCATTTTTCCAAGTCTTCATTTCCTTTCTCTCCCTCCTCTCTTCCATTAAGTGTTTTCTTTTTTTTTAATTGGATAAATATTTAAATTAAGGATATAATTGTGTTTGTTTAGGAGAAAATATATTTGGATAAATTTACTTTCTAAAATTAGGCAATTAAATTTTTTTAAAGTTTCACACACACTTTAAATTTAAAAAAATAAGTTAATTTTTCCTCCCCTATATTTTACAAAAAAAGTAAAAATGGTTATTCGATGGAAGTAATAAATTTTGAAAAATATTGCTGACAACAGAGTCAGGTCTAGAAATTTTTTTGAGAACCGAAAAATTTAATTAAAAATAAAATTTTGGAAAAGACGGTGGAAAAAACTTATAAAATATCTCAAAAATTAAAAAAGAAAAAATAAAATTTGTTTATATTTATCTAAAAATTTCATCTAAATTGTAAAAACAAAAATTATTTAAACTAACAACCAAAAATACATCAAGCAGTTGCAGTCTTCTTTTTAGGTTCTTCCTCTTTTTTGTTTTCACCTTCCTGACTTTTCCTTTGCTCTAATAATTTCTTTTGGAAAGTTGGTGTTTTAATAAGTACTCCAACACCAAATTTTTTAATTAAGAGAGGTAATTCTGGTTGAACCCATTGTTTTGTTATATCTTTATAATCACCATCCGGAGATTTATATCCTTCAATTGGAGGTGTTAATGATGGACCTTTATATTTAAATTTTAAAATTATAAAAAAGAATAAAAAAACCTTCCATAATACTCGGCAAACCGCAATTTTCATTGCTAACAGCAGATTTATATAATTCGGGCGAAACCATTTTTAAAGCTTCCAATGCACGGAACTGGCGTTTTGTTGCATCTTTAATCCAACGAACGTTCTCGCTAGAAAAAGAATTTTTTTAAATTAAGGTTATTTTTGAATAAAACAGAAAAAAGTAAGGAAATAAGAAAATAAATATGATATTTCTCCAAAAGAATTAAAAATTATTCAAAGAAACCACAAAAAAATCCAAACTTTGCAAGTAAAACCCTCGAACGTGCATATTCTTTCAAAATAACAATTCGTTTGATTTCATCTTCTTCCTTAATGGGATCTGGTTCACGTCGTCGAGTATCCAATGTATTAATTAATTTAACATCAATTCCGATTTCTTCCACAGGTTTTGGCTTTTTCCCAAATTGTTTTAATTTTAAAATTGCTTTTTCAAGTTTTCGACGTTTACGTTCTTCTCGTATTTTTGCAATTTCTGGATCGACTGCTACCTAAAAAAATAAATTTATTTTAATTTAAAAATTAATTTACAACCTGCTTTTTCATAAAATGGAAACAAAGAGGCGCCCCCAAATGAAAATGTTGTTGGAAAATTAAAGAGTGATTTTTTAATAAAATCAAATTTTTAAAATTTTTATTCATTTATTAACAAAATTCGGAATAATATTTAATAATTTTTGCTGAAGATGGCTAAACTTGAAGAATTACAAAACCTGAATATCGAAAAATATAGAAAACTGCCTGAGGGTATATGTGAGAGAGCAAGTAAAGCAATTGGTTGAGAGTAAAAGAATAGAAAGAGTATAGTATTTATAGAGACAGAGACATAATTTATTTAATTTGGCGTTCTGTTTATTATTTTTAGGGTACAGCCCAAGTAGGCGCGCGGCCAAGTAGGCGCAAAGCCATAACTTGCTTCAAGATTTCCGAATCTTTCGAAATTTAGTATTAAACGATTCCTCTCATCGAGCTAAAGAGATTGGTACCAAAATTATTAAGTTTTGGAAATTTTTCAGCAAGTTATGGCTTTGCGCCTACATGGCCGTGCGCCTACTTGGGCGTGTCCCTTATTTTTAAATTAAAAATATTTTGAAGGTTCGGCTTTTAAAAATTTTTGTTCTTTGTTTATTTTTAAAAATTTTTAATGTTTTTTTTTATTTCAGCAAAAGATGTATCCTATGAAACCTTATAATGAGGGGATTGTTGTTAAACCGGCAAAAATTGTTTATGAAGTATCTAGTTATCATACAAATTCTTCGACTAAAACTTCTACAAACAACATTGAAAATCAAATGAGTAAATTAGAAATTAAAAAGAGTGAAATAATGCCAAAGGAATCTACAAAAAAGTTTGAAAAGTCGGTAATTCCAAGGCTGGTCCCCCCCCTTTTTTTCTGTTCCCCTGACCATTTTGAACTTTTTTGCTTGGCATATAATTTTCAATATATCATTCGAAAGAGCTGTTCGAGCTGAGTAGAATGATACTAAGATCGGTTCGATTTGGAGATTCTGAACAGGATTATGAAGCTAAATCCTCGATGGACGTGCGTTTTGTGATGCTGAAAGAGATTAAAACAAATGCTCATAACTATGTTTATTTAAGTCGGATTTCAATGAATCTAGTACCATTCGACTCAGCTCGAAGAGCTGAGTCGAATGATGTATAATTTATCATAAAAAGTTCAAAAAATCGAAAAAATAGAAAGGAAAAAAAAAGGGGGGGGGGGGACCAGCCTTGGAATTACCGAAAAGTCTCAATCAAAACAACAACCTTTAAGTTCAAAAGATAATGAAGTAATTATTAAACGTCTTTTAGAATTATCTAAACAATTGGATATTTTTATTGCGAAAGAGGGAGGCGATAGTAAAGTTAGTTTTTAATATTTTTTTAAATTTTTTACATTTTAATTTTAAAATAAGAAGCAGGAGGAAAAATGTTTGACTGAGACATCCAAAAATATTTCAAAGAAGAAAGGTTACTTTGAAAAAAATTATTTTTAAATCTCATTTTTAAGAGAAAAAGACTGAAACAAATAAATCTTCCGATGTTTCTTGTCAAAATAAACCTTTAAATTCTTCACCAAATAATCAACCAACTTTACCCAATATTCAAGCAACACTTTTAATTGACGGAGGATCTAAATTTTCATTTAAAGAACGACCAAAAAATTCGCCAGATATTGTACATGCAAATGTTACTCCAACTACTGAACGTTTTCCTATTCATAATTATGAAGACGAGGAAATGCGAAAATGCTTTATTGGATCTAAAATAAATTGCATTTTGCAAGAATTTGATAAACCTTTGGTTAAATTGTTCAAAATAATTGGTTCGAAAAGGAATGTCTATTTTATCGAAATGGGAACGAACGAAGAAAGTATTGAACGGGAAGGCGAAGCAATATCGATTGAAATTAGTTATGGTCAGAAAGGTAAGAGAATTGTTTGTTGTTTATCTTCTTTTTTAGCTAAAATTAATGGAAATGGCTTTGATTTGGTTGGTGAATTGGCTATTTGGAAATTTATTGGTTCTATTCTTGGTCTTTACTCATTCAATGATGCATCAGTTTCATTGAAGAGTGATAAGTGGCTTTTGGAGGCTTCGCTTCTTGATAATACTCGAAACAATTTGGATGAACTCTCGCGGCGTTTAAATTCGTATTTGGGTGCTAATGACTTTTTGAGGTTTTTATAAAAAATTATTTTAAATAAAATCTAAATTTTTAAGTTCATCTCATGCTATTTGCCTTGCTGATGTTGTACTTCGTTCTCGATTCTCGAAAGATTATCAATTAATTGAATGGAATAAAATTGCAGCAGCAAATAATGTTCAAATTTGGGCAAAACATATTGATTGTGCTCTTCTTTAAAGAATAATTTGATTTTTTTGTTTTTCTAGTTAATTTTTCTTCTAAATGCTCATTGAGAAATTGATTTTTTGGACGATTTTTTTCTGAAAAATAGTAACCAAACATGAAGAATTTTAAATTTAGACTTTATATGATTTTCGAAAAATTTTAAAAATTTCGTCCATTTAATTTCTTTTCGTCCCAAATGCTCTATGATTTTGTAATTTAATAGTAAATGTTGTTATATTAATATTTACTTTTTTTAACAGTTTACAATCAGTATTCATATTTTTATAATTATTTTTTCCCCAATATTTTTTAAATTACTTTAAGGTAAATAGAATAATTTAAGATGTCTGAAAAATTGGAAGAACAACAAATGTCTTCTGGATCGAGCAAATCTAGTGATAATGAGAAACGTGACATGTTAGATAAGCTTTAAAATTTTTTAAATTATTTTAATTCATAGAAAAATAGCCGAGATCGATAAACTCCTGGCGGAAGGTAAGAAACTTGAATTGGTTCAGTTGTATGAAGAAGCTGTTGATAAGTTCGAATTGGCTACTAATACAGCGTTAGTAAATATTTTCATACTCGGGGATTTGTTGAATTTTTTAACACATAACAAAAATTTTAGGACAGAATTCTTTGGAGATTTTGCGCCTGAATGTTACTTACCGGCTCTGAACTATGGCAAGATGTTAACACAGGTTATTCTCGGCTTTATTGATTTTGATAAAGATTGGTTATCTTTTTTATAGATTGCTCGAATTGAATCTGTCAATAAACCTTTTACCGAAAAACTGGGAGCGGGAAATGATAATGAGAATGAAACTGAAGGTGAAGATAAAATTGCAACCGAGAATGAAGGATCACAAGATGATGGAAAATGCGAAGGTTTGAAAATGTTAATTATTCTGACTTGAGATTTTTTGCAAATTCTATTTTTAAATTGTTGTTATAGTCAAAAATTGATATTATTTTTTCGGAAATCATTCTTTTTTAGAGAATCAGTTAAGCGAGAAAAAAGTTGAAGGGGGCGATAATAAAGAAGAAAATGATGAAGGTAATGAAACTAAACAAACTGAAAATGGAAATGAAGAGAATGCTGAGGAAGAAAATGAGGATATTGAAGATGAGGAAAATGAGTTGGCTTGGGATTGGTTGGAAGTTGCTCGCCAAATTTGTGAAAAGTATAAAAATTAGAAAAATTTAAATTATTTTTTCAATTATTTATTTAGGCAAGAACAAACACATTTTTGGTTGGAACGCAAATCTGACGCTTTTTTTGCATTGGGAGAATTTCTGACTGTTGCTGAAGAATTCGAGCAAGCGATTTCTGAATTTGAAAAAGCTTTGCATGTTCGACAAGTAAAAATATAATAATAAAATTGTTTGAGTATAATGTTTTTAAGGAAATTTATAAGCCAAGTGATCGCCGAATTGCTGAAGTGCTTTATATGATGGGGTTGACATATGCAAATAATGATGATTTTACCAAATCTTCTGAATATTTTGAACGTGCAAAGAATGTTTTGGAAAATACAATTGGTGATTTTTTTCGGTTAAAGGGAAAAATAAAAGAAAATTCGAAATTTAGTGTGATTAAGTTTAAAAAATATTTTGGGCTTTTGCTTTTAAAAAAATAGTTGTTAGGATTTAGTTAAAATAGAAAATGAAGCTTCACATTTTTCTACAAAAAAATTTTAAAAAAATTATAAGAAAATTTTAAATTTCTTAAGAAGATCGTGAAAAAGATTTGTCAAAGGAAGAAACAAACCACAATCAAGAATTGGTATCAAAACTTAAGGGAGAAATTGAAGAATTGCAAGGATTGGTTTTGGCTATTAAAGAGAAAATGACTGGTAACGTAAATGGAATATTTAAAAGTTTTAAATATAAAATCCTTTTAAGATTCAACAGAATCTGCCAAATCTCGTGCTTGCCAATTAGCTGATGCTGTTAATATGATTGGAAAAAAATTAAATTCATCAAATATTGAACAACAGAATCAAGAAGTGAATGATGTTACTGCACTTTTACAACACAAAACACCGAAGAAAAGAGCTGCGGAAAATGGAAAAGAAAATGATGAAACTAAAACGAAATTGGCAAAAATTGATGAGGATTAAAACGTTTATTTAAATTATTTTGATGGATCTCTTATAAGTACGTTACCATTTAAAAAATTAATTTTAACATTTTTCGATTTTATTGTTTAACTTATATTTCTTTTCATTTTATTTTGGTTTTGGGATTTTATGATAAACAATTGAATGCTAAAACTTTTATTTTTCTGATTTTATTAATGTTATTTTTAAAAAATAATTTTGATTTTTTTGAACAATTTTTAAAAATCATTCCAATTTATCAAAAATAAATTAAATTTATAACAATAAAACACAATTTTAACTATTAATAATATATTTATTGTACACAACCCTGTAACACAAACAAAAATAATTTATCGATTCTTCTTTTGGCCAATTTGTGTTTTTGCGTATTTCTTCTGTACTTGGAACCTTAAAAAAAGAACTTTTTTAAAAAAAATAAACAAATTTAAAAACCAAATAATAAATGGGAGAACAGTTGTGGGCATTGCAAGCAACAGAAAACCAATCCAAACACTAATTTTTGAGGCAAATCGTCTTTCGTAGTCCTTCAATCGATAAATATTGCCTTTTAAAAATTAAAAATAAGTTTTTTCTTAAATTTTTATTAAACCTTCTCCCGGAGCTGTTGAATAGCTAATAATTGCTTGTTTGGCATCATTTGTTGGGTAATAAGTAACCATTGCGGAGGTATAATTAAAAATACCAAAAGTTCTTGGGCGTACAATAACAGAATGAGTAACTGAAAATTAAAAAAATGACTATAAATTAATCAAAAAGAAAAACCATTTTCTCCAGGTGCAATCTCCTCCCAATGAACATGTAAAAAACCTTTAACAATTTCAAAAGATTGTGTGGGAAAAGAATTTCTATCATCCATTGTAACTTTTAAAGCAGTTCTGTCACCAACATTATAAAGTACATATTCAATTACAAAATCCATATTTTCGACTGCGTACTAAAGGAAAATAATATTTTTAAAAAATTAAAAAAATACCTGGGAGAGAGTAAATTTAGATGTCAATATACGAGCAGAATTTAAAGGTTTTTTGTCGATTGACTTAAATTAAACTTTTTTTTCATTTTAAATTAAAAAGAAAAAAACCTCAGAAAGTGTGTCAGTTTCAGCTTCACTTGCTGCGTTTAAATAAATGTTAAAGGAAAAACAGAAAAAAAGAATAAAAAATATTTTCTTTTTTGTAAACATTTTTTACTAAAATTATTTAAGTAAAAATTTCTAAAAAAGAAAAAAATATAAAAGCGAAAATAAAATCGCCAAAAAAATAAAAAAATTAATTGAAAGAATTTTTAAATTTTAATGCAGTAAAGGCAAATGAATGAAAATAATTTTATTTTTGAGAGCAATGCCTTAATTAATCAGACTAATTTACAAAAAGCATAACTATTAAAGAATTATATATTCCAGTTATGCTTCCATTAATTTACAATTATAATTCTTAAAAATATAAGTCAAAATATAGTGTATATGTAAAATGGCAATAATATATATTTATTTGTCTTTTTACCTTTAAAATCTACCTAATATTTAAATAACTCCCTTCTCCCTAAGACTTTTCACAAGTGAAGGGACATCATCAACAAACCCTCCTGCTTGACGAGCTGGTGGCTCTGTTACCTTAAAAAATTGAAGCTTATTTTTTCACTTAAAATTAAAAAACCTCCAAAATTTCTGTTTGTAAAGACAAATCAATTCCCAAATCTTTAAGTGCTTTCTTTTCTAGAGGCTTCTTTTTAGCTTTCATTATATTTGGTAGAGTTGAATAACGAGGCTAAAAGAATGTTTCTTTTTAAATTAAAAATAATTTCCAAACTGTATTAAGACGTAAATCAGCTGTGACCAAAGCTGGTAATTTAACCCGTACAATATCCAAACCTCCATCGATTTCACGTGTTACTTTTAAATGAGTCCCACCATCTTCTTCCTCTACTTTACTTGCAAATGTTGCTTGTGGCCAATTTAAATAACCGGCAACCATTTGGCCTTAAAAATTAATTAATTAAAATTAATTTTAAAAATTACCAGTTTGGTTAGCATCATCATCAATAGCTTGTTTTCCAAGAATTATCATATCATATTTATCAGTTTCTACCAATTTGCTAATTGCACGGGCAACATGAATTGGTTCAAGTTTTTCCTCAAAAGCAGTGTCCACCTCCAAATGAATTGCTTTATCAGCACCTTTGGCAAGTGCTGTTCTTAGAGTTTCCTAGAACAATTACTTTGTGAAATTTTAAAATTAAAAACCTGAGCCTTTTGTGATCCAATTGAGAGAGCAACAACTTCTACAGGTCCTTTTCCAGCCTTTTCCTTTCGTTCTTTTATTTGGACCGCTTCCTCCAAAGCGATTTCACAAAAAGGATTCATTGAGTGATTAACCTAAAAAAATACAAATAAAATATTTAAATAAAATTTTTAGCTTACCCCATCCTTTACAACTCCAGTTCCATCTTTTTTTACACGAACTTTCACAGCAAAATCAATTACTCGTTTAACTCCAACAAGAATTCTCATTACTGATAAAAAACAAATAATAAAAATTAAAAAAATGAAATCAAAATCCAATTGAAATTTAGAGATAAGACTGAGAAAATCAAACTGCCGAAAACTAAAATTTATTACCGAAACGATTTCTTTCAAAAATTTTAATTTGGCGTAGTGTTTACAGGGAATTTAAAATAACAAATATCTCTCATGTCTCCTATCTTTTGTGTGGTTTAATTCTTAATTATTTTTTTTATTTTCGAATTATCGCATTTTCAATCATTTTGTTGAAAATTAATTTATTGCTTCCGTGTCATTTTTTGTTTAATTTTTTTTATTTTTCAGTTTTAAAATATTTAAAAAAATGTTGACGTTTTCTGGCAAATTCTTTAAACAAAAAGCTCATATTCAATTATTTATTTGCCTTATAAGTCTTTACTTGTCCTTTGCGGATGAAAATGTGGATGTTATTGATGGAAGGCCTTCTACAGAATTTAGAGGATATTATAAGAGAGAACATTCATTAATTAAACCCTACCAAAGTTTGTTTTAAATTAAAGAAAACTTTTCGAAAAAAATTATTTTTTAAGGTGCTGGATTGGATATTCCAAATTGGGAAATTGTTGGAGGCACAATGGTTATGCAAAATGAGATACGTCTTACAAGGGATGCACGAAGTCAACAGGGGGCAATTTGGAATAAAGTTGTAAGTATTTAAATATTTATTTATTTTTATCAAAAATTTTTTAGCCTAATCATGCTCGAGATTGGGAATTAGTTGTTGATTTTCGTGTTCATGGCTCTACAGGGACTTTATTTGGAGGTTTCTAATTTTTGAATTAACTTTCAAAAATTTTTAAGATGGCTTTGCAATTTGGTACGTGCAAGACCCGAATATTGTTGGACCTGTATTTGGTTCAAAAGATTATTTTCGTGGTCTTGGGATTTTTCTTGACACTTATAGTAATCATAATGGACCTCATTCGGTTTCAAATTTTTTTAATTTAAAAATATTTTAATTTTAGCATTCCCATCCTTTTATTTCTGCAATGGTCTCTAATGGGTCTTTGCATTATGACCATGATAAAGATGGAACACATACACAATTAGGTGGCGAGGAAAGCGGTTAGTTTAAATAATTTTAAAAATTTAAATTTTGATTCTGTCTTCGGTTAAAAATCTTTGATTGAAATGATTTTCTCCATTTATGTACATATTGGAATTTTTAAATTTTATTCAATGATTTTGTTTTAGTTTAAAAATATAAATTAAATTAATAAAAATTTTAAGGATGTGAGGCAGGATTTCGCAACAAAGATCATGAAACATTTGTACTTGTTCGTTATGTTGGAAATACATTGTCGGTATGTTTATTTAAATAAATTATTTTTTCAATATATTTATTTTGATTCTTTGAAGATTTTCACTGATATTTCCGATGAAAGAACTTGGAAATTATGTTTTCGTGTTGATGGAGTAATTTTGCCAACAAATTTTTATTTTGGCATTTCTGCTGCTACTGGGGACTTGACAGGTTTATTTTAAAAATAAAATAAGAATTAATTAATTTTTTTGAAGATACACACGATTTAAAAAGTGTTAGAATGTTTGAACAAGAATATGCTCGTGTTGAAAAACCTTTTGAAACAGATAGTGATAAAATTGAGCCTTTTGCTTCAAAGTAAGTTTTTTAGAATATTTAATTTTGAATTTTTTTTTCATTTTTATTAAAAATATTTTACCCTTTACCGGTTGGTGAATTCAGAAATTTAGGCGGAAACGGGAATTAAAAATTGAAGTTATATTGTCATCTTGTCCTTTTAATTTTGTTTTTAAAATTTTTTTTTAAGTTTTGCTGCTCCACGAGACCATGTGCCAGATAAAAAACCATCAAAACTTGGCTGGATTGGTACAATATTTTTGATAATTATTGGAATTGTTGTGGTTGTTGGAGTTCTTGGGTTTGGATTTATTTTTCTTCAAAAAAGGCAGGAACGTTCGAGAAAAAGATTTTATTAAATATTTGTTTTTGTTTGGTATATATTTGGCTGCTCATTAAAAATAAGCTTCAAAAATATTCACTTATATACATATAAATATATTAATATAGATATATTTCTATTAGTTGTATTGCCTATTTATTTTTGTTTTTTTCTGTTAAAAAGAGTAAGTCCTCATTTGTGATTAAAAAATTGTGGGAAAAAAAAGAAATTTTTAATTAAAATTTTAAGTTTTATCTTATTTATTGCAATAGTTTTTATTAAATACCAAAAAATATCTATTTTTTAAATTAAAATACCGACTTCTTCATTAAAATTACTTAGACAATCTAATTTCTCTCAATATTTTTCTTTCTAAATCTTTTAAAAGCTTATCTTCCAAATTTATTAAAAATAACTTTAAAAAATATTGCCTTATATTAAAATTCGCTCTATACTATAAAAATTATATTTATTTTATATTTTTGAAGAAAAATTTTAATTTTTGCGCTTTTACTTATTTTAAAGAATGGAAAATTTTTTGGAAAAAATTTTTTGGAAAATTTTAATTTGTTTATATATTTTCTATTCTTTATTTATTTACCTCTCTTTATTATAAATTGCTTCCTTCCATTATTATAGTTAAAAATGTGTGATTATGTTAATAAATAAATATTTGTTAATTGTTTTAAAATTATTAAATAATTTCTTTATTTAAAAAAATACTTGAAAATCTTAGGGATTATTCAGCCCGAAAAGGAAAGGAGTGCCGGGATCATATTTTTCCTTATTTTCGTGAAATCACATAGGGCCGATTATTCTCTAAACGATAGTAATTATTAAAGCTGTGATAGTTAGGCAAGTAAAATCAGTAAAATAGGCGCCTAAAATAGGCACCAAAAAGCCAAAAAAGGCACAAAAATAGGCACGTAAAAAAGGTTATCAAGCCTATAAAATTAAGAAAAAAGCAAGAAAATACCCATTTATTCATCATTTTTTGAATTATAAACTATTTTTTAAACCTTTTTGTCATTTATTCGGCATTTTTAATAATTTTTTGAAAAAATGGAGTAAAATTTTTAAAAATGTCTATAATTGACAAAATGGAAATCTCGCCCAAAACACAAAACGCCGTACCCCAAAACGTCCCAAAACCCAATCGTCCCAGTTCAAAATGTTGAACAAAGTAAAAATAAACAATTTATCGAACTAAAAATAAATAATGGGACCTGGCACTGATTTTTTCTAATTTAGGACTGATTTTTTTAGATTTTGCATTGATTTTTAGGCAAAATTTCGAAAAAATCGCTAAAAAAGGCAAAAATAGTACCAAAAATTTCAAAATAGGCAGAAAGGCACAAAAAGACCAAAATAGGCAAAAATAGGCAAATTAAAAGTCATGCTAGACTTTTCGGACCAAGCTAAAAACACGTTTTTTGAACGTATTACATCATCCCAAGCTTGCAGAAAAAATAGGCATTTGCCTATAAATCACAGCCTTAGTAATTATATTTAGGTGTTTTTATTTAAAAAATTTCCTTTAAATTATTCAAATAAATTTCAAAATTTCTAAGAAAGATATTTATTTTAAAAAATAAAAATAAAGAAAATTGTGTGTTCCTTATTGTGTAGTGTTTTTAACAAAAAAATGAAAATGTGTGTAAGCAGTTTTTAATTTTGAGAATACAATTTAAATGAGATATTGGAAAAATAAGTCAGATTTTTTTAAATTAATTGAGAATTGTTTTTCAAAGAGAAATCTAAAAATTCTTTTGTTTTTATAAAAATCTGACTTTAAATGATTATAAAAAATAAAATGCTTGAAAATAAATTGGTTTTTATTGTAGTAGTGAGGAAAAGAAAGGAAAAGAAAATTTAGTTTTTGCTTTGTAACTTTAGAAAAAATAGAAAATATTAATTATAAATCATTCTAAATTATTGCCAGAAAATATTCTAAATAGAACTGTTTACACACACACAAAAGAAGAAAAAAAGACGTGCCCGCTCAACTCATCGAATCCTTAACTCATCGAATCGACCAAAAACGCTCAACTCATCGAATCGGCTAAAATTCCTTAACTCATCGAATCGGCCAAAAACACTCAACTCATCGAATCCTTAACTCATCGAAACCTCAACTCATCGAATCGGCCAAAAACGATCAACTCATCGAATTTTTCCAAAAGGGGACGTTTGAGTCCCCTGTTTTTATTTTTCTCCCGAAAGGGCTAACTGAATCTTCGTTGAAAAAATTTTTTGCTGCTATGGAGGCTAGGAAAAAGGGCTTTTGGGCATAATCGGGGTCTACTGGACTAATTTGGTCCGGTTTTACCCGGTAAAATCTCCAGCATAATTTATTAGGAATGAGATAATGTTTTCAGGAATGAGATAATGTTCTGATAATGTTTTCACTGGCCGGATAAACTTGGATAAGTGCCCGATCAACTAATTAACAAAATTAGTTGAAACCCCAGAAGAAAACAAAAAAAAATAAAACAATAAAAAATCTAAAAAATAAACACGGGGACTCAAACGTCCCCTTTTGGAAAAATTCGATGAGTTGATCGTTTTTGGCCGATTCGATGAGTTGAGGATTCGATTAGTTAAGGATTCGATGAGTTGAGTGTTTTTGGCCGATTCGATGAGTTGAGGATTCGATTAGTTAAGGATTCGATGAGTTGTAGGGTAGCCAAAAAAGAGAGAAAGAAAAAAATTAAATTCAAAAAAAATATTTAAAATCTAAAATTCGTCAATATTTTTAAAAAAGAATTAACAAAAAAATTTAAATAAAAATACTCCAAAAAAGGAATATATTAAATAATTATTTTTTGTTCTTCTTTTTTTTTAAATCATTCAAAATTTAATTTTTTAAATTTGTTGTTTACTCTCAAAAAATGCATAAGTTGCTAAAGAAAAAAAACTTTTTTAAAAATTATTTTTATAATTTACGATTTTCATATCCATTAACTTGCATTCCAGTTATGTGACTCTCTTCTGGAGTACAAACATCCACCTAAATTAATTAATTAAAGGATTATTCTCTTATTTAAT